TGTTTATCTTAATATCAACATTTTTTTTTATAAAAGGCTTCTTACTAGCGGTTCTATTTAAAAAAAAAAAGTCGCGAAATAAATTGCAACCTTTTAGGAAAAAAATCGTTTTTAAAATAAAAGTTACGTTAAATGAGAAATAAACAGTAATATCCATTTCAGCTTTCTCCTTGTACTGTCTGAAGGAATTTTATGGTAGGAAAAGGACTATTTTCCATTGCATCATTACCTACTGTGGCATGTTGCTTACAATTCATAAATAAAGGGAACTGAAAGTTAAAGTAATAAACACACATTCAATAGTATTGAAAACAAACAAACAATTACATGAATAATATCGCAACAAAGAAAGAAACGAAATTATTTAATATGAGCAGTGACATTCTGTCAGTGTGAATAATTTAGTGGAGCTTTAAAGTGAGCGCAGCCGGGTAAAATACTGACATGAGACCGTGACATTAATATTGCTATCGCGATTTGTTTATTTTTTTATTATTCTAAAACATTTCAAATGTTATTTAAAGTGTTGCCTTTAAGAAAGTATATTATAAAACAGTTGTTACCATATGCTCTTGGTTATCATAATTGATCAAAAATAACACATTCAAAAGAAATAAACAAAAATCTGGTCAATAATTATTTTAAACAATCCTTCAATGACAACGTATAAACAACTAAAAGTAATATCTGCTCTAGAATAAATATGATTGTAATAAAAAAAAATAGAAAAAGGAAAACATGTTGAAAGAAAAACGTAACAAAAATAAGTAAAGAAAAATATAGAATTACAAATCATTAATTTTTTATATTAAAAAATAATTAATACTTCGTAAAAACTCAACGCTCCCTACATTGTCACAAATACAATCATCCATAACAACCTTAATGTATCATATGTTTCCGATTTAGCTCAATCCAGATACCTATCCTTCCATAAGAAAGGTCTGAACCATCCGAACCCTCTTGTTTCCAAACTTGCTTGCTCTTCTATTCCTGATAACCCTCCGAGGCGTCTGAAAAGAAATGGCCTCGGGACCTCCTATTATAGAAATATAATTGGAGTGCTACCGATGGGTAGTTTCTCTTCATGTTGTACTTGTATCATAATTACATGTTGTATTTATCATTTAACATAGTTGTAAATTTCAGTAAAAAAAGAACAACTATTTACTTCTGTTAGGATTCCATTCATAAAATATATTTTAACGGTTGCAGAGTTTCTTTTTGGGATGTGAATAGGTACATGAAACAAAGCTAATGATGATAGGGACGTTTAAGGAAGTATTGATGATATATTATACGGTGAGAAATTCCATAAGGCAACGAAGCGGGCAAGAAAGGAACGTTCGAAGGATTTAGCTCTATCGGAGGGTGTATAGAGGTCAGACACACGGGATCTTATTTTCTGTGAGTGAACTGATGGTTTGATCTGTGGAAGACGGTAGATATAGAAATAGTGATAGAAGTTGATCGTTTGGAATATAGTCAAGTCAATTAATGCCCAAAAAGAAGGTATAAAAGGAAATGGTGGTGACACAATTTTTTACTTTGAGACATTCTTTGGAATGGCAAGGAAGTAAACATACTAAAAGTCCCCACTCCTAGGTAATGAGCCAGATATAAGGGGCGCCTAATAGGTTAACTTTTTTCGAGTTTCCGCTTATGTAAGAAAAACTATCCATCTCATCGACGAAGACGTCCTATACATATTTAAAGCTGATAAAATTTGCAATATGATTGATCATATACTTTTTATAGCTAATTCGCTTAGTGTCTGAGATATTCATCCTCAACTATCGCTAATATGGAAAATAAATTTTTTACTGTATCATTTTTTATGTTTTTATGATTGTAGTTGTATATTATTATATTGTAGTATTTATATTGTTTGTATGTGAAAAGGAATTTGTATATAATTTGTATGTCCAAAAAAAAAAGAAAGGATTGATGAGTATGCTGTGTGTCGAGCATACGCTATGTAGTAGGGCAGCACTGCTTTTAATAAAGTATTTCTCTCTCTGGGATATTACTACATTCTTCCACATTGAAGGGCAAGATATAAACTAGCAAAATAATATATATTATTGAAGACAATTCAATTATTGAATACTTTCTTCCCCAAGACTTAATCGTAGAAAGCAGCAATCAAGAGTTAGCTAGTCAAATACAGTAAAAAAATTCTTTTTTTCCACATTAGTGATAGGTGAGGACGGATATCTAGCATACTAAGCGATATAGCGTACAAAATACATAATCTATAATATTGCAAATTTTATCAGCTTTAATTTTGTATTGAACATCTTTGTTGATGCAGTGGATAGTTTTCCTGATGTAAGCGAAAATCTGAAAAACAGCTATAAACATTAGGCAATTTTTTTTCTTCAAGATTAGCCATAGTTGAGGACGGATATCTCGGAAACTAAGCGAGGTAGTGTAAACAGGTACATTATCAATCATATAGTAAATTTTATCAGCTTTAATTTTGTATAAAAAGTCTTGGTCGATGGAATAGTTTTCCTGATACAAGCGAAAACCCTATAAAAGAACCTTCTAGGTGTCACCCACATCTGGTTCACAACCTAGTATTGGGAACTTTTAGTATGTTTACCTCCTTACTAGTCCAAACAATGTTCTAAAGTCAAATATTGTGTCACCGGAATTTCTTTTTATAACCATTCATTGACTGGACTAATAAATAAGATCAAAGGAGAGGGAAAGACGTCTACATCATAAAGGTGGGATATAGACATATTAGACCGTATCGAGGTATCTAAAACAAATCTTAATAAGTGTTCTATTCAGATTTACAATGAAAGAGAACTGAGTAGCTACAGTGATAATGGAGGACTCGTTCCTCTTATAGAACATAAATTAATTTTCAACACCAACTTCTACTATAAACGAAAGCAAAATTTGGCATCTTATACTCCTTCATGACAAGACATGTTAAATTATGAATACTTTTTTGCATGGTTATATCCTTTGCATATGGCTTTATCGGCATTAAGTAGTTTCTTCCTCGGCTTCAATCGGTCCCTCTTATGTGATGAATGATGAAGGGGAGAATTTCAAATGTGTACAAGGTCAGCCGCTGATATAGGACCCTCCAATAATTTATCCAAGACGCTGCACAGATACAGCCAGTCTTGGAGATAACGCAGACTCCCAAACTCCTCGTCACATTACTGGAATTTTTCTCTGCGTGTTATTTCCGTCTCATCGGCAGTTGTAAATAATGATCGACGAGGATCCGAGTATCTAGGTTTCCGTAAGGATTTATTTCCAGCCGACCTCGATACCTGGTTCATTTATCTTGTCGGGAACTATTTTTCATTGTTCTTCGTAGAAACCTTATTGTTTTGATAACGTTAAGATAAAATTGAAATATTTTCTATCACAAAAGCAGAAGAAAACATATTGAAAATACGTAGAAGAAAAAGAAAAGCAACATTTTCTTGTACTTTATGAAGCAGCATGACCGGAGGAACTGAATCGATACTGATGCATGCACCTATAATTCATTTTTAACAAGCAAAAAAGTCATACCTTGATAAAAAAAAAAAAAAAAAAACTCTTATTCCATATCACATTATTTTAAGACACTATAGAGATTGACATAACTAGACTGAGAAATAACTAATCTTCAAAGAGGTACTGCTCAAATATATCAGGTTGATAGTTACACAGTATATTACAAATCCAATTATTTGATTCCTTCTAAAATGTAATAAATAAAAAGTGTAATTTCAATATGTCAATAGAATTTAAGAAGTTATTTTTATTTCATTGTTTATAAAATCCATATTAATGGATACATTCTTTTCTCTTCATTATCTCTATTATAATTATAATTTAATTATAACATTTACACTTCGATGAGAAACGTACCCACCAGTTTATTTAGGAGAGAATCAAATTCCTCAGACAAACACAGTACGTTACCTGGGACTAATATTCGACAGAAGGATGGCCTGTGGTCTACACGTCGAAATGAAACGACAGACTTTAAACAAGCCACTGAAAATACTGTAATAACTTTTTTCTAAATCAAAGTTGAAAATGAGACAAAAACTCAATGCATACACTTACCTAATCAAATCCATATGGACATACGCCTCACACATTTACGGTTCTGCAAAAAAGAGGCACTTACAATAACTACAGACATTACGACTTATAACAGGAGCTCCTTGGTACGTAAACAACAAAACTTTACATAACGATTTACGATAACCAACTATCGACCAACACATACGCGATCTCTACTCCAGATTTCATCTTAAACTACCCAGACATGACAACATACTTAATAACGACATGGCTACAGCTGACATGCCTATCAGGAGACGACTAAAGAGGAGCTGGATGAGAGATCTCCTTTCTTGAATTATGAAGTAGACCAAGACCAGGAAAAAGTGATGCTGGGTACTATTTTTTTTCCTCATGCCTAAAATGTCAATTTTTCGTATTAGATACAGCAAATCTGCTTATTGTCAAGCTCATGACAGGTGTGGATGAAAATATGAAGACAAAAAAAAAATTATAACTAAAACTGATAATGTTGAAAATCTTGGGCTCACATTTCACAGAAGTATGACCTGGGGTCCACATATCATGAAAAAAAAAATACTCTAGACCAATGACTTAGACAACTATAATCACTCTTTTCAAGATGTTTGAAAGTAAAACTTATTGTTAGACAGCAATACACTTACTTATCTAAGCCCATTTGGACTTACGGACTTCACAAATACATGACAAATTAAGACACCCATAACTTTACCTGTTATTATTTCTTTAACAGGCAGTTCTTTCTTATTAAAATCAGATTTTTTAGTCTAATAATGCATTTTGCTAAGATTAAATAAATATACGAAAGTAAATAACAATAAAATCAGTAATATTCTCTCTTAACCTTTAGGTTATCTAATAATTAACTTTCCTATTCCTCGGAAAACATGATATGTGATACCACTGGTTTCCGACTTTGTCTCTTTTGATCATCTCAACTTCAAGAAGTCACTCATCGTAATTCCAAAACGAACGTCGACCGCACTGAGTAAGATGGCGGCCATAATCTTCGGAGGCCTGTAATGGGATATCTTCAACGGGATGATGGCTAAGAGCGGAAATACGCTAAGTGCTATCGACCCACCGGATATGCCCTTCGCATCGCCCCTGTCACGTCCGGATTTGGGGGGCCATGGACATCGGTCGCATAGGTTATAGCTCATTCCGGCTTCTTGCGTCATAGCCTGTAATTAGTAAAATACCTCTATGGACCCGAACGATCAGCTGAATATAAATATTATATTTATGCTGGAAGTAACTGTGTTGTTTTTCCTCCAAACGTATAATGGAAAACTTAGACATCGAGTTTCGTTTTCCTGATACATATTTATCATACATCTTTATTTATGTATTTAAAATTTGTACGTCTATTTTTGTATTTTACTAATTTATTTTATTTATTACTTCTAAAAATATACCATATCAACTATAAAACTCATTATTAGTCTTATTTTATGTCTTTGATGGCTCATGATGGGGAGAGCAGTACTATAAAAACTACAAAAAAATAAAAATAAAACATGACTTCAACCCTGTTTAAAAAAGTACCACTCATTAGAGATCTATTCCGGAAAATATAAAAATAAAAATAAGCCAGAACTTAAGTAAAAAAAATCTGGTGCACGCATCACAAGACTTTCACTTACCATCCTCTTCTTAGCAGAAAGAAGTATTTTCAGGTTTATATTTATTTGCAGTTCATTGTGCCTTTTTTTATTTGTTTAAATACCCTTATATGTACAAATATTAACTTTTATATCACTGTATTCTATACAATTAAATATTAAATAATACCAACGATAGCATTTATGAAAACCGTATATGTATATATTATATTGTTGGAGTCCATATTATATTAATCTCATGTTACGTATGGAAGCCTGTTGTAATCTTTCGGGTGAGAACAGGTAAGCTCGTATTCCTTTGGTGTCTCAATTACTACTCCGTTACGAACTCTAACTAAAAGATAAATAAGAGTTCGTTACCAGATTGTTTCATATTTTACATTTAAACATTTTTCATATTATAAATTAATGTGAAATGATCAATTATTTCAAATAAGAAAAAATGAAGGTACTTTACTAATATTGAAAATTACCCGTTTAAGCCCTGTTAGAAAACATCAATCAGAATAATAACCACATTTTATTAAAAACTGCTTAATTTTACACTGATATGATGAATTTAATCGAGTAGTTTTTGAAATAATCGTAAAAATGTGTTTAAGCCATTATATAAAATGCCACATCCAGTTAGCCGATTTTGAAGAAAAATTTGCTGAGACATCCCTAGCATATAAAAACCTTAAATATGTAATTTCACTTTCGTAAGACTTTTCGTATTTGAGCTAGACTGTTACCACACGCAGACCATTTTGCGGGACTTGGCTATTTGTACTCAGAGGACCTGAAAACGTGTATATTGGTTGAAAACTCAGATTCAAACATTTTTACGATCGCAATACTTACCATTACTATATTTTACATATATATGTAAGTGAAAGTAAAAATTTAAAAAAAGTGTATATAGAATACAACAAAATATATAAAATGACTTTATTCTGGATTAAAGTCCCCAAAAACAACAGAGTTGTACAGCAAAACAAAAAAAAAAAAAGATTAATTCATGCCAGAAGATCTGTTATATTAAATAAACAAAAGAAATTTCAAATAAATTAACAATATATACAAGACGAAATAAATGAAGCTGCATAAAATACTTAAACCATATAAAAAACAAATGAGAAATGATAAAAAATTATCTCTGCATGGAAAGAAAAACAAAAAAAATAAATAATCTCCTCTCATAAATGAGCATCTTGTCTTCAATAATTAAAATTAAATAAAAAAAAACACTTACATAAATTAACAATATACCATATACAAATGGAAGTATGTACAAGTTACATAAAGCTATATGTAGAACGAATGAGAATTGATACAAAATATTATAAGATAAAAATAAAAAATAAAAAGGAAAACAATATTAATTGGTACTCCTCTAATGGATGAGTACCAAGTCTCTAATAAATAAACAAAAATATATCCCTCCTTTACATTAGTTTTTTAATAAATGTATATTATATATATTACATTATATATTATTTTAAACATGGATCGAGAGATTTCACACAAAATTTACAATATAAAAACTGTTACAATATAAAAGAGAAAGACTTCCACTGTATGACTGACTGAAAGTCTGTATAATGCAATTTTGTATGAATGAGATACAATTCTACGGACGCTAAAACAATGAATAATCGTGACAACAGAGAGAAATACTTTATTAAAAGTATACCCCTATACTTAGTAATAAATTATGCCCTAATACTTAGGGTTGCTTCGTACATAGCAGACTTATCAAACCACACGGACATTAATTTTATATTATATTTTTCTATTTTATATATATATATATATCATTTCTTATCCATCCAGTCATCATAAAATTGTAAATAGTTACTACTGTAAATATGTGTATAGATTATTAGGTCGTTCTTTATTATTTTTACTTCATGTTTATTTTCAATTATTTATTTTTTATTATTAACTGATGTAAATTAGAAAGTATCTTATAATTTCTCTTATTATTTTTTTTCATTTATCTTTTTTTTTTTACTATTTAATCAAATTATATTCTTCTTTATTAACTATATTCTCTGAGGCTCCTTAGCCGACATTTTTGTCTCTCTGTATTATTCTAAAGGGACTCGTCCTAGAATAAATAAAGCATTATTATTACTATTATATATATATATATATATATATATATATATATATATAATATATATATATATATATATATATATATATATATATATATATATATGGCATATCTTTCTTTTCTTTTTTTCTCCCCCTTCATAGCAATACTCTTACAAATTATCAAAAATAAACCATATTAAACAATAGACATAGTATAATAAACATTTCCCCAAGTCAAAAATTTGTTTTTCTTTTTAAATTCTTAAACGCCAGGAACGAAAGTTAACTATGTACCTTATTTTTTATTATAACCGTATTGCTCTTATAACAAGATATATTTAAAGAAACCAGCTGCATTGAGATCACCCTCCAAATATGAATGCATAAATGAATAATAAATAGATATTAGAGTTTGCTACATTGGTAAGATGTACACGAGGGGGGGAGAGGTGGGGGGAAGAACGGTCAGAGTGGCCGGTGATCGAGTGGTGCTTTATGAAATATTCATCATGGAGCAATAACCCTCCCCCCCTTCTCCCTTACACCTTTGTACAGTCCCTCCTCCCAACTCCTGCGGTCCTGCATACAGCTCCTGTACCTAAATGAAATTCCACAGAATTTCTATTTAGGTACCTCGAGTCTTTGATGTCCTGCTTCATAGTAGGATCTCCATATAAGGTCATCAACCTTTATAATTGTTCATATATATCATACATATATGTATTCACTTATATAATATAGATATACACGTATAATATACGAGTCGTTTATCTCCATAATATTTTTTTTTTGAATTCGAGATAAATATGGGATATAAAATCGATATTGCTTTGTTGAAAAATCCAATTTATGGTTCAATAAAAAAAAAAAATGCAGTCAAATTTTTGTTTTTGTTTATTTAATGAATTTTACAACTGTATAAAAATACAACTAGTAAATATACGCAAATCATAAATAATGGTATGTACAGGCTTGAAGAGATACTACCCAGTGGTAGCACTCTCAAAATAATTTTAAGTAAGAAGATCACGAGGCCATCTTCTTTTCAGACGCCTAGGAGGATTATCAGGGATCGAGGAAGAAGCAAGAGTGGAAACAAGCGGATTTGGATGGAACTGAAGTTCATCATGAAAGGATAGATATCTGGCTCGAGCTAAATCAGCGACATATGGTACATTAAGGTCTTTATGAATGGTTTTATTTGTGACAAAGTATGGAGTTTGTGACAAAGTATTAAGGATTTTACGGAGGATTTTGGATTGGAAGGATTGGATACGATAGGAATTCGATGATTTGGTGGAACCCCAAAGCTCAACTCCGTATGTCCATATAGGTCTTATTATAGTTATATAGATAAGTCTTTTGTAATTAATTGAAAGTTTGGAGCGTTTGTCTAGTAAGTTTTGGAGCAGTCGGAAAAGTTTCTTGTCGTTTCAGTCTAGTATGAGGATTTCAAGTAAGACGTTTATCCAAGTGGAGTCCTAAGTAGCGGATTTGCTCAATAGGAATAAGTGGAGTATTATCGAAGGATACTGTAGGACAAGAAGTCATAGGTTTACGACGGAGGGTAAAGGTGATTTGATGGGATTTATTGGAATTTATTCTTATTCTCCAATTTTTACACCATTCTTCAATGCTTGTGATATGTGATTGAAGGGTATGGGATGCAATTAAAGGGTCATTATTAACAGATAGCAAACATGTGTCATCGTTGTATGTGGTGATGACAGTGTCAGGATGGGTTGGGATGTCAGCTGTATAAACTGTGTACAGGATGGGACCGAGGATACTATCTTGTGGAACGCCTGCAGATTGAGCAAAGAGGGATGAGCAGACATTATTTTGGTTTACTTTGAAGTATCTATCAGTAAGATAGGAGCGGGCAGTCAAAATAATTTTATTTCCAAAGCTCACTTTTTTTTTTTCAAGAAATTTAACGAAACTGGAATATTATAAATATTCATATATTATATTGTTATACTATGTTAGTATTGTATTATACTGATATTGATAGAAAAACAAATATAACCAAATAAATATTATATACTTATTATAAATGGCACCTACCGATTGATGTTGCCATCTGGTTGAACCAAATTGTAAACTCTAAACTCAAAGGTATTATTGAAATAATTCATCAAAAGTTTTTTAAGTCGTTTTAATAAATTAATTTTATTCTGATTGTGGGTTGATGGTTGACTGTCGTGAATAATAATGAGACGGATGGTTAGGGTGATCAGTCAGAAATAAAAAGGCAAAATTAAATAATAATATTCATTTTAACATTTTCCGACGTTTCGACCTTAAGTTCAGATGCCTTCATCAGGGCTAAGAAAAAAAACAGATCACAAGGTATGAGAAACATAAACAAAGTAGGTAAAAAAAATTGAAGTAATATGGAGTGGATAGAATAATGACAATAAGAAGAACTAATGAATAAATAATAATAACCGTTAAAAAGTGTGGAATAATGA